AGGTGTGATGTTTTGTTCTCTGGTTTATTGATGTTTCACCATCTTTTCCATGTTATCTTCCTATCTCTTAGTCGATGTTTCACCATCACTTTCTTTAGCCGGTGTTTCTCCATCGCACATGTTTGTTATCCTAATTTGATTCTAAATATCATTGTTAGGTGTGATGTTTTGTTCTCTGGTTTATTTATGTTTCGCCATCTTTTCCATGTTATCTTCCTATCTCTTAGTCGATGTTTCGCCATCGTACTTTCTTTAGCCGGTGTTTCGCCATCGCACATGTTTTTTATCCTACTTTGATTTTCAATATCATTGTTAGGTGTAATTTTTTATCAACTTGTCTGATATTTTGCTATCATGCTAACATTTTATCATCTTATCTGAGTTTGTGTTGCCATGCGATGTTTTGGTCATCCATTTTTGTTGCTTTAACATTGTTGTTGATGTTTTGTCACTTATCTGATGTTTTGCCATCTTGATTGTTGTTTTTGTTTCCTTAACTAAAAAACACAAACCAACCAAAATATATGAGCCGAACTACAGCTGCTCTGATTCCTTAAAAGGGATACGTAGGCACTGGGGTAGGGCCCAAGCGAGCACAACTTTTATTTTCCCTACATTCCTTTCTCCTTTCTTTTGCATGCATTCCTTGTACAACTTTGATATATATTTTTACACACCCTTAGATTAGAACAACAAGAGTGGATACCGTAGAGTACTACGGGCTTGTGGGGTGCTAATACCTTCCCCTCGCGTAACAAACTCCCTTACCCGATCTCTCGGTCGCAAGACCGTGAATTCACCTTTCTAAGGTTTTCTCGATGTTTACCTTTCCCTTCTTACGGGATAAAAATTGTTTGGTGGCGACTTCATTGATTTTATTATCAGATGACGGTTCGGCCAGGTTGTTTCACAAAACAACCTGGAAACGACATAAATTTTTATCTAAGTCCATTAATTGAAGATTTAAGAATTTTATGGGAGGAATGAATTTATGATGATGATTCATATTCAGGTGAAAAGTTTAAGAAATATGCCATGTTATTTTTAACAATCAACGACTTTCTGGCATATGTGATAATTTGGCTTGATACAGTGTCAAGGGACATAAAGTGTGTCCTATATGTGAATATAATACTTGTTTTCACCAATTTAATTTTACAAAAAAAGCTATTCACCTTAGGCATCCGAAATTTCTAAAACTCACTCATCCTTATCGTAGATTGCAGAAGGCTTTTAATGGAAAAAAAGTTTAATGTCGCTCCTAAACCTTTAACTGTGGATGAAGTTTATCAATGACAAGAACACATTACTTTTGTTATTGAAAATGATAAAAAAAGGCTCGTTGAGAGAAATATTTGAAAAAAGATATCAGTGTTCTTTGATCTTCCATATTCGTCTAGCCTCGATGTAAGACATTGTCTTGATGTAATGCATGTGAAGAAAAATGTGTGTGATAGTTTGATTGTAAAACTTATATACATTTTAGGCAAAACTAAAGATAGTAGAATTCTCATCTAGATATGGTGGATATGGGCATACGACAACAATTGACTCTGGAAGAATTAGGAAAAATAACTTATTTGCCTATAGCATGTCACACTCTATCTAAAAATGAAAAGAAAAGTTTATATGAGTTTTTGCGTGGTATCAAAGTTTCTCAAGGTTACTCATGAAACATTAAGAAACTTGTACCAATAAAAGATCTCAATTTAATTGACTTAAAATCTCATGATTGTCATGTCTTGATGCAACAACTTCTACCAATCTGTGGCATCTTACCAAAAAATGTAAGAGTAACTATTACCAGATTATGCTTATTCTTCAATGCTATATAAAAAAAAAATTGATTTCAAAAAATTATATGAATTAGAAGATGTGGCTGCAATAATATTGTATCAATTGAAGATGTATTTCCCTCCGTCATTTTTTGACATTATGATTAATTAATTATTCATCTAGTCAGAGAACTCATATTTTTTGTCCAATTTATTTAAGGTGGATGTATCTAATAGAGTGATACATGAAGATATTTAAAGCATATATGAAGAATCATCACAGATCGAAAGCTTTGATAGTTGAAGGGTACATCATAAAAGAAGTTATTGAGTCCAATTCAAACTATTTGTTGGAAGCAGAGTCTATAGGAATTTCAAATTCTTGTCACACTGACAGATATAGAGGTAGAGGTACTCAAAGTTTAAATGCTATGTCAATGCCTCAGGATATAATTCTTCAAGCATATTTATATATATTGAATAATGTTAATGAAGTTCAACCTTACTTATCTACTCACAAATTTCGTAAGTTTGTTTAATGAAAAGATTTATAATGATGATAGTGCATTCGAGACAACTAAATGGATGCCATACATGCCAAAATTTAATGTAGTAACTTGGACTGCATAAGACATTACTAATTTTTCCTTTTAAACAAAATCAAAAGATGGTTATAGTCCAATACAAAATAATAGGGTTGTTATTGAGACCAAATCTATGTATTTCTCTAGTTTGAAAGATAAGAATCCTATATTGACATCTATAGCATACTTCGGGGTCATTGAGGATATCTAGGATGCTGATTATGTTTTATTTAAAGTGCTTTTATTTAAATTCTAGTGAGTTGGCAATAACATTGGTGCACAAACTTGTAAGTTCCTTAGTTTTAAGGTTGGAATTAATTTTTGTAAAATAATTTTAGCAACAATATGTTAAATAGGATGTGTTGTCTTTCTATGAAGAACAGGTGGAGCAAGAAGTCCTATTTCATGTTAGGACATGTTAAGTTTAAGTGTTTCAACATCTGGAACAACATGTCAGATAAGATGTCCTATGAAGGAGCATACAACATCGCGCCTGAGCTGAAGTGGACAATTAGATTATGTTATGATTTAACAGATGCATAATATTTTGGGAATATTATGCAATATTATATGGCACTGATTTAAAGGTTAAGAAGAATCAAGTTAGAATATTTAAGATTATGAAGTTTCTAAATATGGAGATTATTTAGGAAACAAATGATTAAAGACCTTGTTTGTAGCAGAAGTTACTGCTAGTTTGTAACAGCTGATAATCTGTGTTTTGAAGGCCCAAATTTAGTTGGGTATAGGTTATAAATAGAAGTATTTGTAACCTAGGAAAGACACGAGTTTAATATGTGGAAGTCTATAGCTTTGTCCTTTTGCTACTCTCTAGGGGAGTTGGTGTAAGTGAGCCACTTGGATTATGAGATGATCACTGTGTTCTCACTCAGAAACTTATAGGTAATGATTTGAGTATTGTTCCTGGAGGAAGGTTGTAAACAACTCCAAGTTGTGTTCTTAGTCAAGAGTCATGGCTAGAGACCATCATGGAAGTGTGTCTTCATGTTTGTTCAGAATTGTGTTGATTCACTCGCTGTCTGTGATTAAAGAGGGATTGAAGAGGGCCTCATATCTAGGCGAGTCTTAGATAGAAATCTAGAAATGTTAGTGATTACGTGATTAGGCTTTAAATTTGAGGTTTGTTATATGATCTATTAATTTATACTATTTGAGTGGACTTGTCCCTGGCTTGGTATGCCCCCAGAGCAGGAGAGTTGCTCCGAACTGGGTTAACAATTATGGTGTGTTGTTTATGCTTTTCAGTATTATTTTTATTGTTAATACATTGCCTGTTTGTTTATGTCGGATCAAATGTTCCAACATGTCATAGGATATTTGAGTTCCGTCATACCAGAATTTCAATTGGTATCAAAGCAGGCATCCAGTTGTATTTATGGGTGAGATCCTAGTATGATACTTTCTAATTTGGAAAGGAAGAAGGTATTGCTGAAAAGCTGTTTGAACTTGGAGAGTTCATATTGGTAATAGAACAAATAAGTCTTCGGAGAGGTCCTGCAGTGCTTTAATCTCAACAGAATAAATTTCACCTAATTGTAGAGGAGATCACTGATAAGGACCCACGTAAGATACATACCTTGGTCGTTAGTTCTTGCCCGGTTACGAGGCTTCATGTACATCATTTTCACTATGATCCAGTGGCACATCCTTATTTCAAACTTTACTTGTATAATGTGAAAGTGTTCCATATCCAACTTGTCCCTAAAAATTGACTTGGAGATCTTCTTAACCAGATCAAATTTAACAAAATCCTGAGTACCTGTGATGCAAATTTCATCCCCTTTTGCCCACAATCCAAAATGTGTGTTAAAGTCCTTCAAAGTGAATTTTATCGGCTTATTAGAAAACCGACATTATAAACCATCGATAATTACAGTCAGATTGTAATAAAAAGTCTGGATAAGTTCAAGGTCAAATTTCTTTTCCAAATTAAAAAATTTCAACAACTCATGTTTCTCCAACGGAGCCAAAAATATTACACCTAATTTAGTCTCAGCCAACTTGTTCACAAAGTATTCAGACTCAACAAGTTTAATAAAAAATTCTTTGACATACCTCTAAAATTTATCATCTGAAACCAAGCTTAGAACTTTATTTCTAATCAGATAAGAATCTCGACTGGAGCTTTAATGCTCGTTAATTGATTTGGAATTTTTTTATGAAATCTTGCATTAGGTGAATCTTTGCTAGCTTGTACCTTTTTGTTCTTGCTTTCTTTGTATTGGACTTGATAAAGATACTTTCCTGTTACCCTTTTTCTTCTCAAAGAGATCCTTTTGTGAAAAGCTTGAGCTCGTTGTAATGGTCGTTGATGAATTGGGTATGAGATGATGATGGTAATGAGTGATGAAATGATGATGGATGATGAATGAGTTAGATGAAGAAATTTTTGGAAAATTGTTTCAATGAGAGAGAGAGAGAGAGAGATAGCGAAATATTTTTAAAAATTATTTGAATGAAATGAGAAAGAGAAAAATGAAATAAAATATAAAACAGTTCAAAAATACGAGACTTTTAGTTTCATGATTCGAATCATGTTATACGTGTGATTCGAATCATGCATTAGAAAATTTCAAGTAATTTGGTCGTGAATTGAATGATGTTATACTTGTGACTCGAATCAATCTTCATAGCCTAAAAAACTCAAAAACTTCAAGACTTGTGATTCGAGTAAACGGTAACTCCATTTAGAAACTGCATTGTTAATCCTAAAAATAAGATGATGTCTAAGTTCTATATCACTAGGGTCCCAACCAAGTGTCACCCTAAAAGTAGTGGTAAATAAGAGAGCTTGTCGCTCATCTTGAACCATTATAGTTGCATATGGATAAGTATAAGACTTGATGAAGAAGGTAAGATGGGAAACCACTTCCCTAAAATCTAGATTGTTGGAGTTCTTTTCTCCATCTTCTTCTGAAGTATTGAGAGGACCATCGCCACTCTCTACAGAACCCTCTCCAGGTCTAGAACTATAACTTAACACAATAAAGTTAGGATTAAGGTCATTAACTTCTAAAGGTTCAACATGCGAGATATCAGGGTTCTCATAAATCACAAATACTAGAGATCCCCCCCATCATCGCCATTTATATTCTTAGAAACATTTTTAAATTGGTCACAGCGAATGCTAGAAAGATAAATAACTTCATCCGTTTATTCCATACCTTATCAAGCCTTTCGTCCAGGGTCAACAGTCAATCAAAAAGACACGTAGAGGCCAGACTTGTGGCGGACGGGTATTCCCCTCAAGGTGTCTTTAAAAGAAGACATACAATTCAGGGATTTTTTTCTATCCGGAGAGGCGTGCGCTGCAGGGGGCACTTATGCGGGTTATCTAAATGTAAGAGAAAGGGTTAGAAAATGGTAATGAGTGAGATAAGCGAATAGGAGACTAAGGGATGAGGAACTTGACAGTGGAGATGAACCAGGAATGATGGAACTAAACAAGAAGGAAATATGGCAAGAGCAGGATGTTGGTGTAAGCCCTAGAGGACAATACTTTTGGTACTTGTATCGAATTATTTATTAATAATAAAAGGCATTTCTTTATTATGTTTGCTTTCCAAAATAATAAAGTCCCTAAAATGGTTTATTGGTTTAATGAAATGTTAAGTGTGACTTAATCATGAGATCCCATTAAACATAAGACACTATTCTTAAAGTATCCGTAGTCAAGCTTTAATGTGAAGTGGGATAACATTAAAGCATTAAGATTATTATGAAGATAGATTGATGATCACATCTCATGGATCATAGATAAGGAGTTATCAAGTCTTGACATAGGTATGAATATTAGGAGTAATATTTATACTGGATTGACCCGCTATGAGAATACTACATAGAATGTTATGCAAAGTGTCATAAGTTATTCTCATGATGATAATGGTGTATACCACCCTTCGACCTGAAACCACTATGGACCCTAGATGTAGAGTCAAGTACTTTATTGCTGATCAAACGTCATCCGTAACTGGATGACTATAAAGACGGTTGATGGGTACTTCACAAAGCATGCTAAGGGACATGAGTGACCTAGATGGAATTTGCTCATCCTGCATAACAGGATAAATGTCTAAGGGCCCAATATTGAACTGGACAAGGGTGACACAGTGTATGCCTTGTGTTCAATATAGACATGAGGGCAAAAGGGTAATTGTACAACACAAATATTATCACGGAAAGGGTTTGGTCAGATCACATGACATTTTCGTGACTTGGGTAATAGTGATGTGTTGCTAGATACCACTCACTGTTTATTATATTAAATGTGTGATTTAATATAATTGCCAACGTCGCGAAAACCTACAGGGTCACACACATAAGGACAGGTTGATGAGAGATAGAATAAATAAGGAACCCGTAAGGTACGGTGCGCTTAAGTGTAATACGGAAAGTGGTAAGGTACCACGTGGATAAGTGATATATGGTACATCATAAGGTATGATGTCCATAAGCTTAATTGGGCTTTTAGCTTATAGCCTTAATTGGGCTTTTAGCTTGTAGCCCACACGAGTGATTCTATAAATAGATCCCTTGTGATGAAGCAATTTCACTTGATGCAATTTCGTTTTTGATTCTCTCTCTCACTCAAAGTTTCCGTTCGTGATCAGCTAGCACTGTGACCGGAAGCGATCTGTTCGTGTGGACTGAGTAGAGGCGTTGTTCTTCATCAACGCTCGTGATCACAACATCAAAGGTCTGAATCGCCACAAGAGGTAAATGTTTCTATCACTGACCATGCTCATTCGTAAGGATCTCTAAAGGAAATTTTTATATTCCGCTGCGCTTTTGATCGCATTTTCCTTCACAGGAATCACCAGAGCTTTGAAGAAGAAGAAGAAGAAGAAATGGTTCACAAGAATACAAAAATTAAATTATTAGGGGGGACATGAAATTTTTTGAAAGGCCAAAGAAACCTTTATATAATGGAACAAATGAAGGGAATTAACACCACATAATGAAAGTAAACGAAAGGTGAAAAATCAATGTTCCAGATGAGACTTCGAAAAGGTAACAACGCTTGAGTGCACTAAGAACTCAAGGGAAAAAAGGTCACGCCCTAACCTATGAACCTAAGACCACATGTGAGGAAACTAGTGCAACGTCTCAATCACTACTACAAAAAAAGGAAAAGACAGCGCTTTTTTTGGCCTTTAACAACGCTTTAAAGCGCTGCCTAAAGCAGCGTTGCTAAAAGAAAAGACAGCGTTTTTTTTCTCAATGTAAAAGCGATGCCTTATGTCTACTTTAGACATCGCTTTTAGAATAAACAACGCTTTTTTATACACCCCTTTAGCAGCGCTTGGGCTTTAGACATCGCTTTTTAATTTTTTCCAGATAGGCTTTAGACAGCGATTTCCTTTGAAAGCGCTGTCTATTCCCCCACTTTAGACAGTGCTTTCAGACTTTAGGCAGTGCTTTTTGTTTTTTAAGTTTTTACAGGCTTTTCTCCTAAAGCGCTGTCTATTGTTTACAATTTTTTTTAATAAATTATCTATTTTAATCAGAATTTTTATCATATTTGGTAGCTTCATTCCAATATTTTGATCCAGGTTTTTAGAATTATCTTTTATGCTCCATATTCGGTAGCTTCATTCTAACAAAATCTACATATATAAAAATTGCACATATATATAAATTGATGATATAGACAACAACAATTACAAAATTTATTATACAAGTTAAAATTCTACAAGTTAAAATGCCTAAAATATTCAAAATTGAATTTACATCTAAACATCTTTCTATCTTCGAGAATTCTCATGAAACAACAACAACATGAATATCTTAGCTCTATCTTCTACACATGTACCTATAAACCTGGAAAAAAAAACAAATGATCGAAATTCATAACATGATAATATATATAACGTTGCACTTTATTAATTCGAATTTAATTTATACTCAAAACTCGAAATTTCTCATCAAAGGAAATAAGACAATATACCTTAGCTTATAAAATTCTCAACCCAATAATGAATTGACACCATTCGTCCATAAGTTCATCCAATTGATCTTTTGAGTAATGTGCACAATTGAATTCCTCAAAGTACTACATATATAATAATATAACATAGTATGTGATTTAGTTAAAACAATATGTCATTTTATGAGAAACACAAAATATGAAAATAGTATGTAATTCCTAAGTTAGAAATCCATATCGTGGATGGAATCTCTAATTGATCCAAAAGAATAACTGGCGAGGACACTACACATGGAAAGAAAATACGAATATATATCAGGATATATCCCAAAAAATATATATAAAATGACAATGCCAAAAATTAACATAAACATAAACTTAAATGTAAACACAAGCATAAACATAAACATTTTAATATCTTACCTCTTTCACTAACATCTCTTTCTTTTCTTGGTTAGAACATGAATTACTTGCTTCTTAACAATGCGGACGAATGGATTTATCCAAATTCCCTCATTATGATCATTTCTGATATATGATTCATCCGCTATAATATTCTCATCTTGATCATTTATAATATACAACTCATTCTGTCTAATACATGTCTCATTCTCATCATCAATACCACCTTGGTCTACACCGTTATCATCAACCACTTTGTTAGAAAAAAGCACTATAGACCATTTTGTACTCGCCAGGTCAGTGACATAGAACACTTGTTTAGCTTGAGAGGCTAGAATAAAAGGATCTTCTTTGTACCCCTCTCTATGAAGATCCACTTGCAAAAATCCTGACATATCCATTCGTATGCCACCACTACTTACCCACTTGCAATCAAAGATAGGAATCTGAAACTTCTCATAATCAAACACCCAAATATGCTCGATAACTCCAAAATATGACAAATTTGCATATTTGGGGTTTAGGTCCTTCATACTAGAAATGTGCATTGCTTCAGCAAGCACAGTGACACCACTATTTTGCATAGTACTTTTATCATCTTGTTCTTTGGTATAAAATGTGTATCCATTAATTGCGTATGCGCTATAGGAAAACACATGCAAACTTGGACCATATGCCAAACATCTCAACCTTTCTGTTATTGAAGCGGGATCTGAATGAAGCTTTGAAAAAATATGATCCTTAAACCATGGTATGAAACTTTGATTGTGCTCCCGTACTATCCAATTTTCATTTCTATTCTAATTTAACCCTCAGAGTATATCCTTGTGCATTTCAACATATGGCTCAACCTCACCGTTATTGTGCAGAACATAAAGATGCACTTGATCCCGTTCATCTTTTGATACTGTCACAATTTTATTTCCAATTAATCTTTTACTGGCCTTTTTTTCAAAGATATGGCTTTTTGGGAGTCCAATGGATTGAACTTTGGACAAATATTCAGTACAAAACTCAACCGCTTCTTCAACAATGTATCGCTCAACAATACAACCCTCTGGGCGACTTCGGTTTTTCACGTACCCTTTTAATACTTTCATATAATGTTTAGCAGGGTACATCCATCTCATATAAGCTGGGCCGCACAACTGTATCTCTTTCACAAGATGAACAACTAGATGTACTATTATGTCAACAAATGAGGGAGGAAAATACATTTCAAGCTCACACAAAGTAATAACAATTTCTTTTTGCAATGTTGGTAAGATCTCAGGATCAATCACCTTACTACAAATTGACCTAAAGAAAAAACACAACTTAGTTATCGCACTCCTTACTTTATCTGGAAAAATAGAATGTATACCTATTGGTAGAAAATGCTCCATTATAACATGGCAATCACGTGTCTTTAAACTCTTTAACTTGAGGTCTTTCATAGACACAAGTCTTCTAATATCTAAAGAGTATCCTTCTGGAACTTTAACTTCACTTAGAAACTTACACAATATATTTTTCTCCTTTCTAGATAGAGTAAAAGCAGCAGGTGGTAGATATGTTCGACTTCCTTTCTTCACGGGTCCTAGTTCAGTTCCTATTCCCATCTTTAACATGTCCTCCCTTGCTTTAAGGCCATCCTTAGACTTTCCTTTAATATTGAGTAACGTACCAATAACACTTTCAAATACATTTTTTTTCAATATGCATAACATCGAGAAAATGTCTCACATACAGAGACTTCCAATATGGAAATTAAAAAAAAACCAATCTCTTCTTCCACCAACCTTTGACAACCGTATGTGCAAAAGGCTTTCCAAACTGAGTACACACATCTTTCACCTTTTTAAAAATTTTGGTCACCTGACAATGTTTGTGGAGCTTTACGTTGTTCGGTGTCTCCATTGAATGCTTTTCTCCATGCACGGTAGTGATGTTTAGAATGTAAGAATCTACGATGACCGAGAAACACATTCTTATGACAAAGTTCCAAACGCGTCGTAATGGTTCTGTGATACGGTGGGAGAACTGACTAGGGTTTTGCGTTTGTTGTCGCAAATGTTTCGGTTGAGCAAGAGTCGCCACCGACTTTTTATTTTATCCTAAGGAAAGGTTTAAAAAGCACAGCAAAAACCTTTGAGATTTTTCTTGGGTTCGGGGAGTAGATTATAGAAAGGGAAGGTATTAGCACCCTTTCTATCCATGGTTATCCATGGGCTCTTAGGTACTTGCTTAGATCAACTTGCCTTGGTTTTCAATTGTTTGAAATGGTGCTTTGTGTGTGGTTTTGAAAATGTTTTGAAAAGATGCCTTGTATAGGCTACCCTTGTAACAATTCTTTACTCGAATGTTTTACAAAAGGTGTTTTATCTTTTGAAAAGATGTTTCAAGGTTTTTGAAAGTTTGTTTTGAAATTGTTTGTGAAGTATGGTTTAAAATTAGGCAAGTGTTTTCTTTGCAAATTGACAAGTACTTAAGAGTTATCTACCCTAAAGTTTTCTCAAAGATTTTTGTTATGTTTTAAAACCTTTTGACAATTTTGTTCCACCATTGCATTTGGTGGACAATCTTGTCTTAGGAGGTTGAAGGGACGGGCGCGGGTCATCGTTTAGACCATAATTGCAATAGTGTTAAATGTCTTTGGGCAATTTTTCTTTAAAAGGGACTTGATCATTCATTTAGGCAACATTTTGAGGGACTATGATCATTTGATTGTTTGTTTTACCCAAAGAAGTTCAACATACAATATGGCCCAATTTATTTGAAGGCAACAAAGTGGAATACCCTAGGGGTGCAAGTGTGAAATGTGTTGTCCATTTTCATGCTTTTTTGTCTTGTATTAGGTCAAACTATTTTTGTTCATTTTATTCGCATGCAAACCCTAGCTCTAGCATAGTATATTTAGAAAGCGATAAAGTGCGAAATTTAAATTCCTACACTATTACAACACAATAATATGGGGAGGGGGGTACAATGTCTCAAATGGGGTATATTTAGACAAAAATTTAAACCTAACTATTACATCATTTTTTTTTGAATATTTACAAGACAAATAATTGTATAATTAAATGGAAATTGAAATAAATATGCAAAAATACAAAAAAGGGAATTTTTCTATGTATGCAAAAAAGATATTATTTATGTGAAATAAAAAAAGAAATAACAAGGTATTATTTTTTGGAGTATTCTCAAATTTAGGGCAAAACCCTAATTTTAATCAAAATGGTATTAGTTATTTAATATTTGTAATATTGACTATTTATATACAAAAATAAGATAAAAATATAATATACTTAAAAAAATGTATTTTTTAGTATTAAATATTTAAAAAAAATAAAATATGTACAT